ATTGTGAAATATTATTATAATGTAAAACAGCTGTTTTCTATGTGAATATCTGTTAAACTGTAATTTATTTCTGTGATGCGCAGCTGTATTTTCAGCATCATTACTCCAGTCTTCAGTGTCACATGATCTTCGGAAATCATTCTAATATGCTGATTTGCTGCTCAAGAAACATTTCTGATTATTATCAATGTTGAAAACAGTCGTGCTGCACAATATTTTTGTGGATGTGTTAAACTGATAAAAAGTGACAGTAAAGACATGTATTATGTTACAAATAAATGCTGTTCTTTTGAACTTTCTGTTCATCTGTGAATCCTGAAAAATAAAATGCATCACAGTTTCCACAAAATTATTACTGTTTTCAACACTGATAATAATCAGAAATGTTTCTTGAGCAGCAAATCAGCATATTAGAATGATTTCTGAAGATCATGTGACACTGAAGACTGGAGTAATGATGCTGAAAATACAGCTTTGATCTCAGAAATGAATTACAGTTTAACACATATTCACACAGAAAACAGCTGTTCTAAATTATAATATTTCTCAATTTTACAGCATTTTTGATCAAATAAAGCAGCCTTGCCGAGCAGAACAGACTCTTTCAGAAACATTAAAATCTTAACGATTCCGAAGAGTGGCGTAAGCATTCATGACATGTTTGTTTTTGCAGAGAAAGTACGAGTCCTTCACGACACACAGGAGCCGAGAAGCAGCTGCTCCTAAAGCGTTCGACCCCAAACCCAGCAAACCAGAGAAACCGCAGTCAAGTAAAGCAGCAGGCAAGGTAATGTCTGTCCTATGTTTGTGAGCGGCGCGGGTGATGAAGCTGTTTACACACCGCATCAGCAGCGCGCTCCTGCGACTGTAGAGGACTTCTGTTGATCACAGAGCATGCTGGGAGCTGTAATGAGCTCTGATGGAGCTGCTGTGGTGTGTGTTTGTCGTCAGGCCGTCACACACGGGCTGCTGGCGCTGCTGCTGGATTGGCTGGTGGACGGTCAGCTGATGGAGGTCAGAGACGGGTCGAGGCCTTCCTCGCAGGAGAGATGCGCCAGGGTTCGTCACCTGTGTGTTCTTACGCACCGACACTGAGCTTTGCTGTTAAATGTTGACGGGATTCACATGAACATGAAAACGCATCCAGATCACAGTTTCGCTTGATAAAATTGAAGCCTATTTTTAAAAGCAATGCTTTCTGTACACCGTGACATTATTTTCATGTTATTTAACCTGTTAACTGTCACTGGCCCACCGGTGGGCCGACTTGCCGTTACATGTTTTAAACAGTAATATCTTAGTCTGAACCTAAAGTAATCTTGACAAACTATATATCGTTTGAAAGCTTAAAGGGTTAGTTCACCCAAAAATGAAAATTAGCCCATAAATTACTCACCTCGAAGCATCCTAGGTGTATATGACTTTCTTCTTTCAGACGAATCCAGTCGGAGTTATATTAAAAATGGTCTTTGATCTTTCAAGCTGTTTAATGGCACTCAGCGGGTGTTGCATGCTTCAGTCCAAAAGAAGTGAAATAAAAAGCACACATCCATACCAAAAAAAAGTGTCTCACACGGCTGCGGGGGGTGAACAAAGACATTTTATAGCGAATCGATGCGTTTTTGTAAAAAAATATCAATATTCAGAATGTAATAATAAGAGGAGACTGGTGTTCCTCTGCTAAAGTAAGGAAACTTTGCTTCCTTTGCTCCTGTTAACAAATGTTGGTTTTCACGAGACTCACCGGCGCATGCGCAGCCCTGACCTCATACGTCATCCACCCGGAACTGCTTCCGTTTACAACAGTGAGCGCAAGCTAGATGTGATTATTACGTTTTGAATATGGATATTTTTCTTACAAAAATGCATCGATTCGCTACAGAAGGCCTTTGTTCACCCCTAGATTTTGGACTATTCTACTTCTTAAAGATTTCTATTTTCAATAAATGCTCTTCTTTTTAACTTTTTATTCATCAAAGAATCCTGAAAAAAAGTATCACAGTTTCCAAATAAATATGAAGCAGCAACAGTTTCCAGCACTGATAATAAATCAGCATATTAGAATGATTTCTGAAGATCATGTGACACTGAAGACTGGAGTAATGATGCTGAAAATACAGCTGCGCATCACAGAAATAAATTCGATTTTAATGTATATTAAAATAGAAAAACATTATTTTATATCATCATAATATTTCACAATATTAAATTTTTTCCTGTATTTTTGATCAAATAAATGCAGCCTTGATGAGCAGAAGAGACTTCTGTAAAAAACATTAAAAATCTTACTGATCCCAAACTTTTGACCTGTAGTGTACATTAGAGTTATTAAAAAAAAAAAATGTTTCAATTGGTGTCCGTACATACAGTTTTACAGTAATCATCTTCCTAGCAACCATTAATAATATGTGTATTATGAATAACTGGGATCTGAGGAAAATCCATCAAATAGAAAATGCAGTGGGAGCTTGTCACCCCTCCAAAAAAGTGTTTGATGTTCATTCTATTAAATTCAAAATAAATAGTCATAATTGTGCAGGTGTGGAATGGAGAGCGTAGACGCTGGCGTAGCAGAAGCTTGATGATGGTTGTGTTGTGTGCTGAAACGGCTGTGATTGCTGTGCTGTCAGGTTCTGCCCATGCTGGTGGAGCAGCTTCATGGAGCGGTTGCTGCTGCGGTGGAGCCGTCTCTGCTGCTGCGGTCTCTGCTGCGCTGCATCTACTGCTGCCTGCTGCATCTGGAGCGCAGCTCACAGGTACACAAAACCAGCCCAACACATGCTCTATTACCAGCACAAAACCATATTTTCATAACACTAGTTTTGTCTTTGCTTGATGTTTCCTGTCACTTACTGCAGACCGTCATTCTTACACCTAGACACAGTTTTTACTCCTCAAAGCTCATTCTTACTCAGCGAGTGATAAATTTGGACTCTAGATCGATTGATTGATCATGTGATAATATGTAAAGTTTACTGCATTTGTCTCAACTTCAACCTGATTTGACCATATTTAAACGTCCTCTTTTCAGCCTCAATCTTTGCATTAACATTTGCCGATAATCGGTTTTACCGAAGCCTTTTTTCTTAATCGGATATCGGTTTTGTCATATCATATCCACTGATAAATGCTATCAGCAGGTATCTCATAATCTAGACTGACAAAAATTTGGACTCTGATCAGATTGTGATTGATTGATTGATCATGTGATATGTTCAAATTGGCCGATAATCGGTTTTACCGATATTTTCCCCATATTTAAGCTTTTTTTTCTTAATCGGGTATCAGTTTTGTAATATCATATCCACCGATAAATGCTATCAGCAGGTGTTTCATAATCTAGACTGACAAAAATTTGGACTCTGATCAGATTGTGATTGATTGATTGATTGATCATGTGATAATATGTAGCTATAGTTTACTGCATTGGTCTCGAATTCACCCTGATTTTACCATATTTAAACGTACGCTTTTCAGCCTGATATAACTGTTATATAATAAGAGAAGTTCTGCAGTGAAACAGCGAGGGACTTGAACGGGACAAAAGTCTCAATCTTTGCACTAAAATTGGCCGATAATCGGTTTTACCAATATTTAAGCCTTTTTTCTTAATCAGATATTGGTTTTGTCATATCATATCCACCGATAAATGCCATCAGCAGGTGTTTCATAATCTAGACTGACAAAAACATTAATAATTCTGATAACGTACCGTTCAAAATGGACCCTAATGTAATGTATTTTATTACTTTCCTGACAATGTGTAATTATTACTCTTTAGCCTAATAAACAACACCTAAACCTTTCTTTCAAACTGTAGTTTAAACAAATGATTACATTTATGCAAAGTTAAACATTTTGAAAACATTAGACTTTGTCAATTTATTTAGATAATATTATTTGTTTAGTTGTTGCCATTGTAAAAATATTTTAAAAGCCATGTTTTTATTGTGATAAATTCTAAATTTTATAATAATAACAGTATGATAATTATAATAATATTAATTTACAATAATAAATGTATCATAAATGGAAGTAAAACAATAAATAAAGATCAGTTCTGCATATCAGACATGCGCAAATACATCAGTATCGATTATAAACAAAGTCGATATCGGTTGATCTCTAATTTAAAAATGTACCTAGCTACACATTATTAAACCGCACCATTTGTACATTTTATATATTTTGTCTTGTTTGTCCGTGAGCTAGCTTGTTTCTGCCGTGGAATAAAAAAAAGAATTTTTTTTCTTACAATTTTGAGTTCATATTTCACAACACTGACTATTTTTCTCACAATTGCAAGTTTGCGTCTCGCAATTCAGACTTTTTCTGTCAGAATTCTGAGTTTACATCTTGCAATTCAGTTTTTTTTGTTTCTGCACCGGAATAAAACAAATAAAAAGACTGCAACTGTTTTTATAAATCTCACTATTCTGATTTTATATGACTTTGTTAATCAAAATTCTGACTGAATTCTGAAAATGTCAGAATTTTTTTTTTTTTTTAAGTCGTGCAGCGGAAACAAACTTCCTTAAGCTCTCTAGGTCTCTGGTTTGTGTCCAGTCTTCAGTTTTCAGAGGTGTTAGCGCCTTGTTTCGTAATGTGCTAGCTGTTTTCTTTCATTCAGGCAGACGCTCTCAGCCCAGAACGAAAGCGTCCTGCAGAAGCGTGTGTTCTGATGTCTCTCTGTCCTCCAGCACACCGTCCTGACCTCCACGCTGAGGAGGCTGGGTGAGGAGGTGTCTCGAGGATCGCGCGTCTGTCCGCTCTTCAAGAGCTCCTGTCTCCTCACGCGCTTCTTGTGCAGCCTCATCATCATCAAGACCATCAGCCAAGGTCAGTGGTTTCTCAGCGTCTGCAGCAGGTGGCAGTGTTGTGTCGATCAGCCGCGTCTCGCTCTGTTCCTGAGAGTCTGCAGTTCATCAGATCCTTTAGTTGCTCGAAAAGCCACAGAAAGTCAATTAATGCATTGCTTATTTCTCCCACCGGCTCCCACACTCACGGAAATCAATACAATTGCGTTTCTGTAATCAGAATAAATTGTTCGAGCTCCACTCGAGACTAAAATATCTCATTAGCATTAGTCTAATCTCTGTTATATTAAAAGCGGAGTTCACTCAGAAAGTAAAACGTGTTGAAAATGTGCATGAGTCAGGTTTGGAGAAATGTAGCGTTGCATCAGTGTCTCACTGCAAGTGAATGGGTGCCGTCAGAACGAGAGCTGATAAAAACATCACAATAATCCACAAGTAATCCACAGCACTCCAGTCCATCAGTTAACATCTGGAGAAGACAAAAGCTGAAACAAATCCA